TGTAGAAGTAGAATTCCTCTGAATTCTTTTTTGGAAGCCAGTATCACATCTACTTCTTTTAAGTCCAGACAAGTCGCTTTAAGCGATGGTTAAATAGGGCAACTGGAGTTTGAATAAATTAACCCAGGTTGGGCCAAGGTCGAAACCAAGAGCCTGGAAATGTGGCTGGGCCCGTGAGTACTTGAGCCATCACCTGCATCTGGGAACATGGATCAGCAGGAAGATAGATCAAAAGTAGCAGTGCCAGGACTTGAACATTCCAATCTGATATGGAATGTGGAGATGTGGGCATCACAAGCTGTACCTTAAGCCGTTTGTACCCAAAACCACCCCTTGATGTACTCTTCTTGATGCTACAGTTCATAAAAGGAAGATCAGATCTGGTCTAGTTCTGAAACTGCTTGTCTTATTCAGAGACACAATAAACAAACAGTAATTGTAGGACAAGTGAGGGGGAACCTGGTGTTTCGGGGTGAGGTGGAATGGTGCTTTGGGAGCGAGAAGAGGCAAAGGATTTCTAGGGGAGATTCCAGTTGGGCTGAATATTGAAGGGCAAATAAAAACTGTCACCTGTTTTTGTTTTTAATATAGAGCAGGGGCATCCCTGGAGACAATAGTGATGTCTCCTCATGGGTGGGGCAAGGGATGCCTCCATTGGGGGAGACTGGATTGCCTTGGCAGGCAGTTGGGGAGTGAACCAGAATCGTGTGTGAAGTGCCACTTTCTTCTCCCATTCTTTCTTCTCATTTTCCTTCCTCCCCTGCTTTTTCTTCCACTTCTTCCTTTACTTCCTCCCCACCCCCGGCTAATAAAAATGATATCTGGACACTGTGAACTCTGTTCTTCTATACCTTAATTTAATAATTAGTCACACTTTCTACAGTGACTTCATAATTCTGATTCTGAAAGATTTATTTATATGGAAGCAGGAGAGCCCTAGGCTTGTACTCCCAGCACAGCTCCTGGCTTTCAGTAGATGCTCAGCCAGGGCAGTTGTGGTGGTGACTTCGTCCTGTCAGTTATGGGCTCAGGCCCAGCAGCTCTCTTTCAGATGCTCATCGTATGGCCCTGGCTCCTTACTGTGGAAGGGGAGACCCAAGGCTCTTCCTCTTTGGGTAGATGCCACATCAGGAGTTCCCAAGATGTTTCTGAGAGGAGCCTCCCCTAAGAGAGTGGCTCTTCCCCCACTCATCATTTGTCTATCCTTGTCCTCAAGCCATCCGGAGTCCTCTATACATCACCTCCATCCTTGGCCAAAATTCCTGGAGGCAGGCACGGTAGCATCTTAACTATCCTCCACACATCCCTCACACAGCACCAACAGAAGGAGTTCTGTCTGAGGGTGCTGGAAAGCATGAGTCCTCCCCAGTCCCCTGGCTGGGGACACGCAGGAGGGCCACTGATGTGTCCAAATCCAGGTGAGGAGCGAGAGGATCACCTAACTTCAGACAGTGCACTTTGGGGAACTCACCTCAAAGCCTACAAAAGGGTGTCTGAATTTAGATTCAATTCAATTCTAGACACCATCTACACAGAAAGGAGTGGGCGCAAGCAGCTTCTCACCTTAAGAGGTGATACAGACAGGAAACAGGAAAGAAGTCATAGTCGATGCAGGTAGATTTCTGCATGGTGCAAGCAAGAAGGAGCACTCGGTCGGGGGCACCTGCCTGCCTTCCCTCTTCCTCTCCCCTCTCCCTCTCTCCTGCCTCCTCTCTCCTGTGCACGCTTCTCTTTTTCTGCTTCTCCTTTTGCCATCTTCCTATCTTCTCCTTTCCACATCTTTCAGATTGATTGATTGATTTGGAGTGACAGAGAGAGAGACAACTCTTCCATCTGCTGGCCCACTCCCCCCAAATTTCCACAGCAACCCAGGGCTGGGTTGGTTCTTTCAAGCTTTCTGCCTTGATGGAATCCAGCACTAATGACTGAACACCTCCTACAGGCCACATTCAATGCTAACCCAGCAGACACAGGAAATGAGCCCCTGTAAGGTCCTGCCAGTTCCGACTCATGATCTAAGATTCCCCATCTGCTTTCCTACACCCCTTTATTCCTGTGTCCTGGGCTCATCCTAATGACTACCTCCTCCTCTCTCTCTCTCTCTCTCTCTCTGTGACTTCTATTTCCTCTGCTTCCTCCTGTCCTGGTGGGAGCAGGATCTGGGGGTGGACAGGACAGCAGAGGGCCAGGGGATCTGGTGACAGGTGCCCTTGATGCTGCCATCACCACCCGGCGGTAGGAGAGACCAAGTGCCCAAGGCACATCCATCACAGCCACCTTTTTTCAGGGCCAGGACAGAAGAGAAATGACTTTTGTCAGTTTTGTGACAAGCCCTTGTCCTAGGCATCTTCCATGCTGTTTATTAAAACTGAAAAGGAAAGAAAAACATCCAGGTGTGTGAATGCCATCTTGCCATGTATTTAAGGGAGCAATTCAAAAGCCGTGATCTTGACAAACACTCCTCCAGGTCATCTCCAAAAAGCCCTCCATCTCCTTCCTCAGTTCGTGTCCAGCTGTGACAGGCACAAAAGGTGACAGGCAAGAAAAGGCCAGGGAGACAGATTCTCCAGGAAAATGCTGTGTAGCTCTCTTCTTAACACTTGGGGACCAAGGCTTCTCCTCACACACATGACAAGGTCACAGTCCCTATCTGTCCATTCTTGCGTTAATCCCTGAGCTTTCCATGGGGTCCAGGGGCAGGTGAGGCATGGGAGAGTCAGAGATTAGTTGTGATAATGATCATCATTAATTGTTAATGCTCAGTGATGAATAGCCATTAATGGTTGGTTATTAATGATTCATCTGAGCTGTTAACTGTGGTTTGAGGAATTGTGGTATATTCCATGTGAGGTGAATACTGTGACCAGGAAAGAAGGGACATGGAAAGGGGCTGAGTTAGGCCAAGGGAATAGCAGTCATTCTCAGAGAACTCTTTAATAGGCCATCATGGCCATGGCCACCGCCCTCAGGCCCCAAGGAGAGAGTTTGCAGGAAGGGGGCTTGGTAGTGGTGATGGTTCTGGGTGGTGGTGGTCAGGGATTAGCTGTACTCTGTTCAAACTGCTAAAATGATAGTGTCACTGACAATGGTTCTAGAGGCTAAGAAACCTAACATGAAGGTGCTGATGGATTCCCTGTCTGCCTTCTTACAATGGATTCAGGTGGCAGAAGGGGTGAGGGACGGGCTCCTGTTTAGTCCAGCAGGTAAGTGTCTGTCCACAACCCATGTCAGAGAGCCTGGGCTTCCACACCTGTCTCCAACTCCTGCCGCAGCTCCCTAGCTTCCCACCTTTGCAGACACTGGGAGAGGGGGCCGGCAGTGACACCCACACAACAATGGGTTTCTAACACCTGAGTTTGTGTTCCCAGATTCTGGCTTTGACCTGACCCAGCCTTGTGTTGATGTGGAGATTTGGGGGCAGTGGGCCAGTGGATGGAAGAGCTGTCTCTGTCACTCCAAATCAATCAATCAATCTGAAAAACCAGGAGGGAATAAGGGAGTTCTCATTGGTAAGGGTGCTGATCTCTCTTGTGAGGGCCTATCTCCTCCTACACACCTCCCACAGCATTTTCTGGGTGGTTGGACTTCAACATAAATCCAGGGTGGGGTGGGGAAGTCAACAATCCATCTATTGCAATCCTGCTTAGCTGCTGAAGCCTCACCATCCTCGCCCTTCCTCTCTTGCCTGCCTTTACCCAGAGGGTCGCCTCTGACAGAAGCCCACTGGGTCCTTGCAGGTGGACAGCCTCAATGCAGCATGAAGACAGCTGGAGGTAGCAGCAGTGGCACCCACCTGTGTGAGCCAGCAGCCTCCTCACAGCCTTGCCCCAGAACCCCAGCTGCCGTTTGCATCTGGTGGGGGAGTGGAGGAAGCTGATAACTGTCCTCTGGTGTTAAAGCAGTGGGAGCCTGGGGCCCTGAGTATGGGAAATACGAGTGTGTGTACCCTCAGCCACAACATAGAGGCTCCCTTCCTGCTTCTCTTTGCTTTCTACTGCATGCGGACTTTGCTGGTGGGTAGGCAGGCAAGCAGAGGCTGACTGTTCTGGTGAGAAGGTAGGGGCAGGGCAAATAAATTCCACTCAGTACAGGGGATGCTGTTTGAACCACAGCCTCTCCCCACCCTTTCTCTCTTCCATAGTTGACAGTTCCACCCCACTGCAAGTCCCCCATTCTTCTCAGAGGCCACATAGCGTGGCTGGTATGTGGAACCTTCAAGTTAATTCCAGAGGATATTCCCCATGACCACCCCACCCCCAGCACCTGCTCTGACTTGGAAGCTCCCAAGGCACCCAACCAAAATGCCTATGCTTGGGGTTCAGGAAAAAAAAAGAAGAAGAAGAAAAAGAAAAACTGGAATGAAAAAATAAAAGTATTTGAATACAAAGAAATTTTGAAATCGACAGAGTTTTCATGATGGGCATTTTCAATCACTTACATACACTCGGATTTCCTTTTGGATCCGCATAAACCTAGATCTCCTTCCATTTCTCCAGGGACTTTTGAAGTGCCCTTGTTTGGGAGGTCATGGTGTCTCTGAAGCCCTCCCCACCCCCTCACTTGCTGGGATCATCCTGGCGGCTTGGTTCTCCCTAAATAAGGAAGCCCCCACCCGCTCCTTCCCTGCTGGCCCCCTCCAGTGTTGAATAGGCAAGTGCCTCACTTCGCTGTCGGCTTGGGAATGATGGGTCATGTCATGTCAGTTACGATGGACCATACATCTCAGTCATTCATCCCAAGCTACAATTTTAATCTACTCAAACGTACTTAGCTGGGTTTAATTATAGACAGAAATTGCATTTCAGGAAGCAACAAGAAACCATTTACATGGCTTGAATTCACACATTAAATCATGCAGTTCATTTGAAAGTGCAGCAGGGACGGCCTTTCCCCAAGAAAAATCATATTAGTGCCCGCACTCAGCGGCTCTCGCACGCCAATTGCACCGATGCCATGAATTGTACAGTTTCTAGCTGTCTGTGTTTGTCTTCTCGGCACAGGAGGACTGTGGAGCGTGGAGATGCATCGGCAATGGCTCTGGGCAGAGCCTGGGAGAGCAAGACCCCGGGAGAAAGGGGGACTGTGTCTCCCCGCTCTATCCCCCAGCAGAGGTCGTGCCACTCTGGAGACAGCGAAGGACTGGGTTTCCAGAGGAAGCCAGTGGCCGAGAGATCAGGAGCTCTGTTTGCCTCCCCATCCCATCGGAGTCCAGACACATCCCCGTCGCCCAGGGAAAAGCTGCCCAGCCCCTCAGCTGCCCTCTCGGAGTTCGTGGAAGGACTTCGGAGGAGGAGAGCCCAGAAGGGGCCAGGGACCAGGCTGGGCCTTGAGGACTGGCCCACTCTGCCCATCTATCAGACCACTGGGGCATCCACGCTTAGGAGGGGCAGCAGGGCTGGCAGCGATGAGGGCGACCTCTCGTTGAGAGCCGGGGCTAGGTCGTCCCAGGAAACCAGCGACCTGGCCTCCTCCGGTACCTCAGCAGGTCTCCTGCGCTCCACCAGCCTCAAATGCATCTCTTGGGATGACACCCAGGGTGCGGGCGCGCTCCCGGAGAAGCGGAAGACTCGGTTCAGCTCCTGCGAAGCCCTGCTAGAGTCAGGCTCTGGCTCTGGGAGACAACTGGGCTCCTCCGAGATACTTGGAGACAGGCTCTTGTCGCCCACGCTGCGGCCCCGGAGGCGGTGTCTGGAGGCCTCCGTGGATGACTCAGGCTGTCCAGAACTGGGGAGCGAGCCGCTGGTCTTCCAAAACCGCCAGTTTGCGCACCTGATGGACGATACTTCCCCAGACAGTGACCCTTGTGCCTGGAAGGTCCCGGGCCTCCACTACCAGCGTAAGGCCAAAGTGGACTTCGATGACTTCCTGCCAGCCATCCGGAAGCCGGGGACACCCACGGCCTCACTCAGAGCTGTCCGAGAGGGAGCAGGCAGCCCACGGTCCCCCAGCGTCCATTTTGAGATGGAAGATGCCGACCGTAGCTTTGTTTCGGGGCTTAAGACCATCCTGAAGAAGAGCCCGGAGCTCAAGGAAGACCCTGGGCACCTGTCGGACTCATCCTCCTCGTCCAGCTCCATTGTGTCCTACAAGAGCGCCGACAGTATCAAGAGCCGCCCTGGACTTCCACGGCTCCAGGGTGATGGTGGGGAGGACCAGGCATCCCCAGAGAACAGGGGAGAACAGGCTCCAGGGAGAAGAGACAACAACAATGACAACGACGTGGAGAGCATCATGAAGAAATATCTCCAAAAATAGGAGAAAGAGCCAGGTAAAGAGCTTTGGGCCAGGACTCATTTTTCTGAGGGGAAGAATGGGGACGGGGAAGTCCACCCTGGTCCAGGAGCCTGGGAGAGGGGGAAGCAGGGATGACATTTATTAGTTTTCGCTGAAATGATGAGTCAGGTGCAAAGCTGACGAGAGAGCCACTGGGGCAGGTGCACTTGTTTGTTCACCCTTTAAAATGCAGGCAAGAAGAGCCTGCAGCGTGGTGTTCATGGAGGGGCTGGCCTTTGGATTGAGGGGCTCACCAAACTGGCCACATTTGCCTAACCCTGTTCCATCACTGCTAGAGGGGCCTGGATGCCCTTGTCCCCACGTAATGATGAAAGATCCTTAGTGGTGGCCCAGACCCACGGAATCCCATGGGGTGGAGTAGCACAGTGCAACTCTTGGGCTGCAGGTGGGGGTGGGCAGGGGGATTTCAGTGGCTGCACGCTTTAGCTGCACGTATACAAAAAATTCCCACAAAGTGCATGTCACAGAAAATAGAGATTTCCAAAGGCCATTTTTCTTTTTAAAATTTTGGTCCCCCAGTTGTGTGTTCCTTTGGATCTTTTGATTTGGTTGGCCACAAACTTGTTGAAGCGCCCTCTGATGGAGAGAAATGATGGCCCCATATTGGTGTGGGGTAGAGGGAAGAGGGCAGGGACAAGAGGATCAGATGCAAAACCTCATAGCAAATGTGTGGACAAGGACTTGCCTCCCTCTTCCTTCCCTCGTGTCCCAACTCTCACCCCGACACGTCTCAGGACAGAGGTAGGACACAGAGTTTGTTGCCAAGTGCATAAGAGCACTTCAAAAAGATCATTGGAAAAGCAATGGGATGAGAAGGTAAGCGTGTGTTGGCACCAGATGACTTGGACATTTACACGTAGATTTTGTTATTTCCTCCCACCTCATAATACACATTTCTTTTCAGAAAGATTTTCTGGTGTCGGGCAGTGGTGTGATACCCATGCTGAACGTGGCTTGGTGTTACTTATTTCCATCAAGCAGATGGACAAATGGAGGGTCAATGAAGTGAAGCCTTCCAGGGCAGCACCTGACTCCCCACTTCAATGTGCCATCCACCTCTTCAGGTGCACTTCAGTCCCAGGGGGCTTCCTGAGAGAGGTCACAACCACTCAAAAGCCCTGGTCCCTGTGCAAGGCTTCCCACCCCCTGCCCAGGTGATGATTCTCATGGGGCAAGGTTCAGGCCTCAGGTGGCTGAGCTACGGCAAGGAGGCAGCCCAGCATACACCTTGACCCCTGTGAGCCACATGTCCTTTATATCCAGGCAGCGGTTGCCCCTTTAGCCCATCAAAAGCCACTGCCCCTTCCGCAGAGATGGGCTCAGACCACATCAGAGCAAATTAATTTGACTTAACACAGCCTTCCCTCTGCTCTCAATTACCGAGCCAAGATCGGATATTCATTTACATTATTATGCTCTTGGGGACACACGATGAGCAGTTTCAAAGGCCAAGAAAAGGGCACGTGCCCATCAGGGACACTGTCCTTAGCAGAAGTCCTCACAGAACATCTTGTCCCTGCCACTTTTTTTTTTTTAATAAACTTGAGCTCTCTCCTCCTCTACTGTTTCCTCCTCCCCCACGCAAGAATCTTTGCCCGGGATGCTCTCCCTACACCAATACAGCCCCTGCCTAAGAAATCTCCAGCTTTGGAGTTCATGTCTGAGCTTTGCATGGAACCAGACAGGTGGGTTCTCGCTGATCAGAGCTCTGGGAGCAGGTCCCCCAGCCTTCCCAAGTGTGTGTACCCCCAGCCAGAAGGGGGAGTAAGGACACTAGCCACCTACATTCAATAACACGATGGGTTGAATGAGAACATGGACGGTTGCCAAAAGAGCTTAGTGCCTGTTGGATGCCAAGCTCCCTTGCCACCTATTCTTGGTGATTCCTGTTGGGGGGAGTCTGACCAGAAATACACCTACATCTATGGGCCTCTGGCCCGTTGACTCCAATTTGTTCTCCATCCTTGGGCCCATTCATCAATTCTGACCTGTGTTTCCTTCCAGCTTCTTCTGATGCACCTGACCTCAAAGACTTGTAGCTCTGCAACTGTTGGGGGAGACAGAGAGAGAGAAAGACTGGCCAGGCCTTTCTCAAGGAGGCACCAGTCCTCAGCCAGCCAGCCAGCCAGCCAGCCAGCACGGCCACCCTGAAGACATGCTGAGCTCCAGAGGCAGCATCAGCAGCAGGGGGCACAGAGCACCCAGTGGGTGGGCTTAGTCTGTACAAAATAAAGTGTGCGTGCCTTGGCCTCTGCATCTGCTCTCTGCTCTGCAATCAGACAATGAGGGATTCTAGCAGCAGGTGGATGAGGTACAGCTGGTTGTGCCAGGATTCCCAAGGAAGGGAACCTGACCCAGCTGTCTGGAGATTGGGGTGTGTACTGTCAATTCTCCCCCTCCCACCCCACCATGGTTTTGCATGCAATGGCCTCCCTTCTCTGCATTCAGCAAGTTTCAGCTTACATATTAATCTCCTCCAGGAAGTCTTGCTGGGTACATCCAACTGAACTGATGCTCATTCTCCAGGCTCCCTGGATTACCCTAATTGGTTCCATCATGCCCCTCTCATCCCCCACTTGTCTGTTTACTACACATCGGATACAAATAGGGAGCCCCACGTGAATTCCCATATGAGCTCACACACCCGAGAGTATACAATGCCCAGATGCATTCCTACTAACATGTGCTCATGCCAATATTTGGGAATCTTGCCTTTATTCTCTTTTCACCAAGGCAGAGCTGGCATGGTCATTTTCTGTTACTGTAACACAAAGACCCTACTCAAGGCTGGGGCCATGTGTCAAGAATGCACGATTGGTTTGGTTCACAGTTCTGGGGACAGGGGAATCTAAGAACATGACCCAGGCATCGAGCTGGCATCTGGTGAGTGATTTCCTGTTGCATCATGACCTGACGGAGGGCACCACATGACAACGCAGCTCAAGCTGGCCTCACAAGGCTTACTCTCAGAGCAAAGTCACTTCTGTGGTGACCAGTGCCTCTGTTAACGCACAGGTGAATTCATCTGCCCCTGGATGTGGGCCTCTCAGGACCCAATCACCTCTTACTCAAGTTGGTGACACACCTACATCCCATCTTGAGGTGCCTGGGGTTGAGCCCCTGCCTTGCTCCCATTTCCAGCATTCCTGCTATTGCACACCCTGGGAAGCAGGAAGCAATAGCTCAAGCAGCTTTGGCCCTGCCACCCAAGTGGGAGAGTTGGATTGGGTTCCTGACTATTAATGAGATATTTGGGGGGACAGAAGTGAATGAATAGATGGGAGCTCCCTGTTTTTCTTCTACCTCTCAACTGGATAAATAGATAGAAGTAGATATAGATAGAAATAGAAACAGATTCAGATAGATAGTTGCAAAAATTAAGACCCCACCTCTTCAAGACTGCCACAGTGCTAGTTGCATTTGGCATCTGAATTTCAGAGTGCCAACTGTATCCAAACCATACCAGCATTTGTGCCCACACTTAGGAAGTCTGAGCTGATCCTATCTAAGTACCCAGTGACAGACTCCTTACCCTCTGTGTCTCTATCCAAGGACCCCTCTGACACTGCCAGTCACCGCTCCCACCAGTGAGAAGGGGTTCCTGTTTGACTCTCTGTTGCAGGGGCCATTGCTATTGTGTAGTAGAATAAGCTTCCACTTGTGATGCCAGCATCCCACATCAATTCATGTCCTGGCTGCTTTCCTTCCTGATCCAGCTCCATGCTTATGGCCTGGAAAGGCAGTAGAGGATGTCCCAAGTCCTTGGGTCTCTGCGCCTGTGGGAGACCTGAAGCAAGCTCCTTACTTCTGTCTTCGGATTGGCTCAGCTCCAGCCATTGCAACTGATGGAAAATGTGTGTGTGTGTGTGTGTGTGTGTGTGTGTGTGTGTGTGTGCGCGCGCGCTGTGTATGTGTGTGCGCTGTGTATGTGTGTGTGTGGCCTCTGGGCAATTCTTTCAAATAAAAACAATTAAAATGAACCCATGGTGCATTCATTTGCTGGGTCTACCCATGCTGAGGGTCCAGTAGAAGCAGACATAACCACCTGACACTCGGCAGGAAACATCCTCACCGGGTAGACAAGACAGTAAGCAAGAAAATAAATGTACTGTCAGAGAGCGTGCTGCACTGCAAAGAAAAATAAAGATGAAATTACTGTGTGAGTTCCGTGTTAAAAATTTATAGGACGTTTATTTTATGAAATACATTTCTGTAAAGGAAGACTCTGTCATTATTCTTCAATGATGTACAAGCAATGTAACCCAAGATGCAGTCCAAGCAAGAACAACGAAGCATCCCTCATGGTTCAACAGGAGGTGGAGATCCTGAAGACACTCATTAAAAGTGAAGCCAGGCATCCTGGAAGAGGCCAGTGGTCCCTCTGCCTCTCAAATCCCTCATCAGATCAGCTCAGCAATGGTCATAGTGGCTGGTCACTTGCTGAGCAAACCATTGGATGGAAGATCTGTAAAACTGACTTTCCAATAAAAATAAATCTTTTTTAAAAGGAGGAAAGAAAAGATTCTCTCTCTCTCTCTCTGTGTGTGTGTGTGTGTGTGTGTGTGTTTCTTTGCTTTCACATAATTTTATTGACAAGTGACACCTGGCCACATTGGTGGGAAGTACTGTGGTATTTCCATCCATGCATACCATGTGTTGTGAATAGATGGAGGTAATTAGCATACATAGTATCACAAACATTGCTCATTTCTTTATTTCAGAGATATTCATGAAATAGGCAGTTGATGGTATCAGCCATCAATCACCTCGGCCACCAGTGACTGTGTTCCTTCCTCACCAACCCCCCCCCCCCCAGCCAGGCAAAGAGCAACATACCTGGAGACAGACCAGAGCTGAGCACCTGCTGGGATCACCTTAGGAACTTTGATCTTTCCTGCCTCCATTTCCTTCTCCCTCCAACTCACTGACCTGAGACTATACCATCTAATAGCACAGAAACACTTCAACCTTGCCTCAGGTTGTATTTCTCAGGGGGCCTGCACTAAGACTAAGGCCGAAGCAACGAGTGACGTGGTGATTATTCGAATTGATGCATGAAAAACACTTTGAATCACTCTGTCACTCCATGGATACAAGCTGCTATGATTAACACTAACAAATGTATTTACTTACTTATTTCCAAAGGCAGAGTGACAAGATGGGGTGTGGAGAGAGAAAAGAGAGAGGAAATGGAGAGAGGGAAGAGAAGAGAGAGAGAGAGATCTTCCATCTGCTGGTTTATGTCATGGGTCTTTGTGAAATTTACTTTCTAGTTGGGTATAGGTAGATCAGGGAAATAAGTGAGGTATGTGAAGGACTGGGCAGTGAGAAGTCTGGGGGTGAAGAAGGAAGTGGGAAGAAAGTTTTCTTGGCACAGAAACCTTACCCCTTTTTTAGATCTTTAGTTAGAGGTTTCTGTGCCAAGAAAACTTTCTCCTGCCTACTTAAATGTCCTCTGCACCATTCCCAGAGTTTCCTGGGCCCTCTATTCCTACTTCCTTCTTCACCCCCAGACTTCTCGCTGCCCATCACAATGCCAACCCAAAGATGCAAAGAAAGAAAGCATCAGACCCTGGCCAATGCAGTAAGTATGCATCAGAACCAGGGCTAGGTTCACAGTTCCTACCAGGGGTCAAAGAGGCCTGGGTTTCCATGTCCCAGGGACAACTTACTCTTGTGCCGCACTTGTCTGTGAAATGGACGTCATGGTCCCCACTGGCTGCTTTCTGAGGGGTAGGGGAGGCAATGCACATGCAAGTACTTGGCTCACACCTGACACGACACACAGGAGGCTCTCGATCATGTCAATTTCCCTTTCTTTCCCTGGACCCGTCGCCAACCTCCCCCCCTTACAAATCTTTCCAGAGTGAGTTAAGGGATGTTCTTAAGGGCTGTTTGCAGGCACCCAGTGGAGCCATTCTGTCCAGCCGAGTGGGGAATATTTACATCTTCTCTACCGAAAGGCAAATGGTTTCCTAGAGATGCTGAATTAGTTCCCAGCCAGCCTCCAGGCTGTCTTGTAAATACGCAAGTCTGCGTGTTCACGGTGCCCCCATTTGTCCAGCAAACCAGAACCGTGGTGCCGGAAGCTTGTAAATATCAGGACTGAATCTCTTCCAGCGCTCCTCTGTTTCAGAGCTGCTTTCTCCCCCTCCCAGTATTTACTCCGTTCTTCCTTCCTGCTTTTCAATTGCTGTGTTAGGCAACACGGGCCCAGCAGGATCAAGAGAGACCTTGGCACTGCCCTTGTGGCATTTAGATTCCAAAGACTACAAGACAAGAAGACCATGGTGCCCAGTGCACAGAGAAGAAATACACAAGAGGACACTTCAGGGAGCTCTTCAAAGGGGCTGGTGGTGTGGTGCCTCAGATGAAGCCATGGTCTGCAATGCCAGCATCCCCTGTGGGCACTGGTTTGAGTCCTGGCTCCTCCATATCGTTTTGCTAATGAGGCTGGGAAAGCAGGAAAAGATGGCTCAAGGTCTTGGGCCCTTGAATCCCTATGGGAGAGTCAAATGGAATTCTAGACTGCTGGCTGTGGCACCCAGCCCCAATTGTGGTGGCCATTTGGGGAGTGACCCAACAGATGGAAAATCTCTCTCTCTCTCTCTCTCTCTCTCTCTCTGTCTTTGGATTTAAAATAAGTAAATAAATTTTTGTTTTTAAGCTCATGAAAAAAATGGAGTTAAAAGTTTATTTTGGTGCCAAGACTATTGAAAATCCACATACAGGTTTTTCATAACATGCATTTTGAATGAACTTTTAGAATTACTGACTTCATATGTATGGACTTCAATTTTTTATCTTTATCTTTTAATGACATTTTAACAAGCTTTTTTAAAAATATCCTCATATTAATAACAATCACTCATGTTTTTATGGAGATCTACTTTACATATAATGAGACACTGACACCCTTGATGGGCTTGCAAGCTGTCTCCTCTCTTTTTAATGTAGGAACAATCTAATCCACGGATTCCTTCCCAAAATATCCGCAATGGGCAGGAACTCAATTTCTGCAGCTTTCTCAGCTGCCTCCTGACTTGTGCATTAGCAGGAAGGTGAAGTTAAGAGCTGGACCTGGGAGTCAAACACAGGCTGTCCAGTACGGAAGAAGGCAGCCTTACTGGTATCTCAAGCACTAGGGACCACACTTAACCTGCAACAGAACCATCTTCCTCACTGCAAGAAGCTCCCTTACCTTCCTTCTCCACCATCCTTCTCCCACCCTCTGCCAATCGACCA